AATTTACTTCACAAAATGTGGATGTGTATTCATTGAAATCTAGTTTGCCGAGTGCTCCAAATAAAATTATAAGAGCCGAACTTTGTCGAGACAATTTACGACACTATAATTCGTTGGTTTAATCCTAATAATCCTAAAGTCGGTTCAAACCAGTTTGCAACTGTAATCATAAATATTCCAAAAAGTTTTGATTGAATGTGAGTGGCTGTTACGAACGGAATGCTTAAGAGTTCTGCTCTCATTTAAAACCCGAACTTGACCTATATATCAATTCATTCGAGATATTATGTCCTCTAGGCGGTTTTACCTGGATTAAGTTATCTTGAATTGGTGCTTCAAAATAATTGGTGATTATTACAATGACATCATTACGATCTTATTGATAATGACCTGAACTCAGCTTATATAACAAATCATTTAAAATATTGTGTCCTCTAACTTAATAATTAATTATTTTAAAATAGTGCATACTACAAAAAGATTGGTGATTATTACATTTCTTAAATTATATTCCATTTAAAATGGCAAACTAGCTGACAAGCCATATGATAAAAAATTACAAGCAGATTTTTTTTTAATCAACTTAGAATGGCAAACAAGCTGACGGCCCACCTGATAGAAAATGGTAACCGTCGTCTATAGACATGAGCAGTACCATGGACTTAACAGAGTATACTGTTTCGCCCATGATACCCCCCATGCGTTGCCATTCCTGAGGACTCAGGTGTTATTCCTCTGTACCCAATAAATTCACGCCATATCCCACCCTTCAAACCGAAACACAGCCATGCAAACACAACTGCTTCACGGTTGAAACACGAATGGGACAGAGATACCCAAGCAATCGACTTTTGTACAATGTCTCCCTCTGGTAGATTACCATAGACATCGCAATATATACTGTATTCCCACACCTCTGTGGATTACAATTTTATGCTTCAGAGTCTACAATTTCACTGCAATGTTCCATTCAAATTGAAAAACTGCCATGCAAACACTGCTACTTCGTAGTTGAGCCTATTGGTAAAGCAGAGAAAATTCATAACAATATGATTCGCTATCACACGTATAATATAATTCACAAGGGTGAATTTAATGCAGAATATACAATTTATGCACTGGTCACTTTGCTCAAAGAACTGACAACCGATGGCAAAGAAAAGTGCTTCAGTGAGAACAAAATGGCAAACGCAGTGTAGGACGACCCCCCATAAGATGCAGTGACGGCCTCAAATGGTTTGCTGGGAGCCAATGGATGCAGATGAGTCAAGACCGTTCCCTATGACAATCGATGAGGAAGGCTTGTGTTTAGCAATGGATAGTTAACGACTGATATGATGTACATGATATATTTTAAACAACCAGGCTCTAATAATTATAAATACTTAATTATGATTAGTCACATTGCCAATTGCAAAACATAAAAATATTATATAGGTATAATAAAAAATATAAATCATCGTCTATACAAATTTCACAAAATGTTTGTCACTTTATTGCCAAATAGTTTATGTATTGTTTTTATAGTGCTGGCACTGTTTATAGTAGTGGCCTATAGATGACAAATAAGACATACAAAATAAAACACATTGCCCTAAAAATACGACTATATCTGCATACAATAGATCTAATAATAATTTATTCTTCGGTCGGGAAAAAATTGTGACAGTTTATCAACGTAATATTCAATACCATATGATATATTATTTTTCGTTTTTCGAATATAAGCCATCTCGATCTGAGAGTTAAATAAACACTACATAATTATTATCTGAGATTAAAGAAACCTTCAAGTTGAATTCTAAGATACAAATATTTTTATATAATTTACGAATAGAATAAATTAGGAAAATAATAATTATTATATACATATTTTTGATAAAACATAAATACGTTTTTCAGGAACTTTTGAGTAAACTATATCGACAACTAACTCTAAATAAATTGTAATAGTTTTTAAATGTACATATAATACACTCAATCTGTAATAAAACAAAAAAAAGTTTTGATAATGCACAACAAAAATATAGGGAGTCTAGAAAATTGTGCTTTTATAAAAAGAATATAACCTATCCACTAATAAGTATTTTAAAATTCTTTAATAAAAAAAGGTAATAAATACAGTTCGTTTTTTGTTACTGTAATGTTATATATTATAAAATCTGTGAATATGGAAGAAATCAGTGTTACATAAAATCCAAATTGGTTATAATACGTTAAATTATAAATATGTAAGCTGCCTACGTATCAATATGTAATTACCCGTAGGGAATAAAATTATGTTTGACCCAGATACATTTTTTTTGTGCCAAGCCTTGTGCGGGACCAAAGAAATAAATTTACCTAATGCCACACCTGATACTTCAATATGCGTTACAATCTCGCAATTCTTATGGCGATACCTTTGATATTCAATATCAATAAACTGAAATATCAGGAAAATCTATAAGGTTTCGATTCAATTCAAATCCAATCCAAAAGTACTTATTTTATTTACATAAATGCATCGGTTTACCTTATAGTTGTTGATAGTAAACATGATGACCCAGTAACCCAGTGGCATATTTACACCCTTACCGTCAACATAACAGTCAAATTTTCTAAATATTAAATATAGATGTCCCATTATAAATTTCATCAAGAGCATTTTAATGGGCTGTCAAACATTGGAATGGCCTTTCCCGTGTCTTGTTTCCTTGTTTCTATTCCTATAACCTTACGTACTTCGAACGTAGCGTGAAAAATCACTTAGTTTGCCAGCACAATACGTCCAACCTTTGAGAGAAGAATAATCTTCACTTCGGTTGTTTGCATTTGTGGTTATTCCACTAAATATTATTGTATTAACGGGAGATTTTGCAATACCAACAACAACTACAATAAGTCTTTAAAACTATAAATAAAAAATTGCCTAATTTAATTACATTTTATAACATTTTTCAAAATGTAATATTTGTGATTAGACTAAATAATTGATTATTTTAATGGACAATAATAGTATATATTTGGTAACCATACCAGTTATTGATATGCGATGACAGAATACCGATAAGGGAACACAGGTTTGGACGAAATCAGAAAAAACATCGTGACAAGTTTAAGATCTCTAGGAGAATACGAAAATGTGACAATGAAAAGGCAGATCAGTTAGCCTATCGTGATGGATTCACTTGGAATAGAACACGACAGTTTCCAGGAAACCGCAAGGAGGTCGACCTAACAGGGTGTATTGCTAACAATAGGCCTACTAATCTCCATTTTTAAGAATCCATAATTCCCTCATACCGGGGGTATTATGCGTAAATTGCCGACTCTGAAAAAACATTTTTGGAGAACCCTATGCTATACAACATAATACAATAAATACAATGAGCCAACTGGCCTGTCTTTATTCTCATTTCATCCACCACTGGCGTAGCATGATATATTGTCTGCATAAATTTGAGTACCATTTCATTTGCATCCATTAAAAAACAGGGTATAAGTATTGCTAGCAGTGCCACCTATTGACAATTGGTAATTAGATATGGAAGTTTATATATATATACATGTTTATGATTAGGTACATATATGTATATAATGTAAGTATCGATACTGTTAGTCACCTATTTACCTGTCAAATTCCACTCACTAGCCAATTAGCTAATAATATACTTCTTTCACAACGCGGATGTGTCCATTTTATTTTTATTTATTCATTTTTATTGGATGCTACTAGCACTTACGTATTTATTACTTGATGACGGATTTATTACTTATTAAATTAGATTTGGCTTACACATTAATTGGTGACAGATCCGCTAAATAGATGTCATGAAAAAGATTTTTAACATATTTATTGATAAATGTATTGTCATTGATTACCTATACCTATTTTAAAAACAAACAAAAACAATGCGATGATAGTTAAAGAGGTAAACGAGCAGGCGGCCCACCTGATAGAAAGCGGCTACCGTCACCCGTGAATACCTGCAATACGAGAGGAGTTGTTAGTGTGTTATTATTTACTAGCTTTCAACTGCTTTTTATTTCTTAATGGCCATTTTATATAAAATAATGTAGCAATATATAAGTCTATTGAATATGCTCCGTACCTATTGTCTGTTTAACTTAAATCGACAATAGTTTACTGAATTTTGAATTAATTTCGTGTTTCTTTAAATATAAATACATAGATAAAATAATCTTCTATTAAATAAATGTTATCATACAAATACAAAATTAAACACACTGCGCATTTGTTCAAGATATTGGATATGATTACATAATAGCTAATATAAATATATAGTACTAAAATAAATAAACAAAGACTTTTTAAGTTGTTATTAATCTAATAAATTTTACACAAGAAAATCTGGCTGTTTTCCATAATATTCCTGTCTGACATATCCATCACCAACGTAAATTTATCATTTTCAGTTCACTTTCTTTGCTATTTGGCATTTATTACAATTAACTGTTGAAATACATTATAAATACACGCAGTCTTTTATGAAAAAGTAGTGGGACTCTGACACTAACCTGTCTCAGACATTCGAGACCAGGTAAAATTCTTACATGCACCTGGCCAATTATTTTCCTAGTCTATAATGTAATACTTTTGTAGTTCTAATCACAATCAAACTCATATATCTACATAAACTTTTCTATATCGCTAAGATATCAAAGAAGCATACGGCTCACCTGATAGGAAACTCATATAGTTACCGTAGCATATACATATTTGTAGTGCCAAGAGTACTGAGCATGCGTTTTCAATCCTGAGAAAACCTCTTTACCCCTTTTCTGAAAAATCCCATGCTAAGTAGTTTCTAAAAATTGATGAAAATATACTCCACCTAAGTTGCTTTCTAGGTAGACAAAACTGAAAACCTATCCTTAAATACGAATTAAAAAATGTACACTTTTAAGTTGGCATTCCCTCAGAATGACGAAAGCAATATTTGGCACACCATTTAAAAACGGCGAGGAATTTGTTCATGCACGGCCGCTGTATTGACAGAAAATCATTGGCAGCCCATCTTAGAAAGAGTGCTAGCGCTTGCGACAGCCAGGTGGGGTCGAAGGGAGATAATTTGGGAGGCTGCGTCCGCGGTCAGGGCACGGTGCTCACAGTCGTACACGAACGATCATCCGATCCACACATCTCCAAACCCAGTTAGGTCTGTGAAATAGTGAACGTGTTTTATAGATAGTGATAGTTTAGTGTCTAAACAAATCATGTTGGTTGTGTCTCCAACTTAGAAAAGTGATTTTGTGTAATAATTCTCAGTGGTTTTTGATCCCAGAATACCCCCGTGCAAAATGTGGGATGACGTCGAAGAGGAAACTCCAGCGCAGCCCGAACCTGCCCCCGAGGCACCGCCAGCCGAAGACCCCGCTCCCGCTGCCCCCAAACCCGAAGTGGCGGAACCTCCGGCGCCAGAGAACATCGTCACGGGAACAGAACCTAGGAAACTTGTATTCAAACACTGGATTAGGTTAGTCTATTTCTTTTTAAAATGGTTCAATGTAACGGCCTACACAACTGTACCCACGCCAGTATTCTGAAAGTAAAAATACTTATATCTCATGAAGTCTGCAGCTGCCGTGAAAATCTGTTTTCTAAGTGTGACTAATTATCTATTTCAGGCCAAAATTCCTTCAATACTCTTACCTGTACGACTATCAGAAAAATTACTATGATCAACTTATCAACTACCTGGACAGACGAAATAAAGGATTGCCAGTAGAAAAACCACGAGCGCAGACATGGGGCGAGCGTGCTCTTAGAACCTATCTGTCGAAGAGCTCAAGTTATAGCTCGAGGTGCTTAAACAAGGACACCACGCTTCTCCATCACATCTCTACAGGCGCGCGGTTCCACCGTTATCACAGCAAGTCCCTTATCTCGAGGAAGTATTCCAGACTCGGATTTAACACTGTATCTATCTAGCTTCGCTCTAACACCCACGCTTTACATGGCTATGCGGACACCAATCCGGTTGGTTGTGTGACCTTAATTGTCAATTTTACAGGATTACGTTGGTGTAAAGCAGCAATCACAGATAATCATATACTGCCTTAGAGTGACCACAGTCTGATCGGAAGCCGTCCGCATTCCTATAAATATGTCTGTCTTGATTGGGTAAGACAATAAATGTTTAAGTTTACACCTGGTTTTATTTTTCTCATAGCTAGTGTGAAGTGAATTGTATTCTGTCTATAAGAAACATACATACCTTTAAGAAAATATATAATATATATAGTAATTTAAATTTGCAGTATTGATAATAGCAATGCGAAGCGAGAGTTATACAGACGCGTTGCGAAGCGATGTTGGCAATGTATTCAAATAAATAATTTTCCAGAAATTGTAGCGAGCTATATGTAAAAATACCTTAAACATTTTTATAGATAATTAAATTAGTTTTGTAGATCTAAAGTGAAAAGTTGATACAGTTCAAAGAAATATAATTATTATTTCTATTAATAGAACGCTGTTATTTACAACACATATTTGCGCTCATAATTCGTGAATAATTATTTAATGATAGCTAGTCATTTTATATTTAATAGGAATATATTTTTATCAAAGATCATCTTCCTGATGTATTGCTATCATGAGAATTCTGAAATAAGGTGAATATTATCACCGGTTAATCAAACTCGCTCGCTAAACATAACTTAATTAAGGGCGCAATTTATATACAAAAAAAAATTCAATCATCAAAAATGTGTGTGGGTTGTACACGGAAGTAAAACGATTTGAGAAAGAAACATTGAAATCGTTTCATAATGTGGAAGATGTCGTGTACTACATGTCTTGTGTGATGTCTTTATAGTTACATGTGTGTATGTGTATATATGTAAGTGTGTTTATGTGTGTGCGTGTGTATGTATCTATATATAAACACATAAAATGTAAAGAAATACAATAATTTTTATTTAAATAATTTAAAAAGCAGAAACATTTTACCCAAGAAATTTAGTAAACAAATTTTAACTATGATAAACAAAAACATTTATTAATATGTACTTGTAGCTATAACTGTATCTGTGACTTTGTTCGCATGAATAAACATAAACATTTGCTAATGTTCGATGTCTATTTGTGTAAATAGTTTCATTCAAATCCGCTCAACCGTTTAAGTTTGATTAAGTAACAAACATGTAAATATCGAAACAACTTCAGAAACTTTCGTATTTATGTATGAAATAAGTACGTACCTAATAATACATTAAAAGTTTGTATGTCAATATATAGAGCTACGTAATTCATCAGTCATTTAAAACTATTTATGTTTCTTGCCTGTTCACTAATAATTGCCACTTATCAAAATTACCAGCAATTATGGCGAAGAATAATGTTCAATAATCGATCCAAGTTACTGGCTAATAAGGCATATTATATTAATTGTTGCCAGATAAATTACCCCAATTAACTTCGGCAGAATAATAAATCTGCGCGCGACGATTTATTAATAAAGATGATTTACGTATTCATAATGGAATATTTATATAGCTATAGACATGAAAATTTCTGTTAATAAGTTGTCAGGCTTCATAGCAATGATGTGATGTTCTTAATAGATTTAATTATGAGCAACAAAATACTCAATAGTCTCATTCAAAAAGTAGTTACAACGAAGCTAGAGAAATGTAATTAATTTTACATCATACTGTAGTAGCATAACTATCATAATCCTGTCAATACTAGCTTTTTTGCCGCTATTTCGCACGTGTGGATTTCAGAAGTAAGAAATTCATTGAAATTAAAGCACTTTAACATGGCGCTTCAAGATATAACATACACCTGTTCGAAAGTTAGACCAAGAATTGAACTCTAAAAACTGCATCAAAACAAACATAGATATAGACAGACAAAATTTCTAATAAGTCGTTTTAGCTTCTATTGTTCTTATTAACACCCCTTACATAATTTTTTTCTTAAATATCTCCCATGTACAGACGTTGTTCACTTACAATTTTATTATATTAGTAAAATAAAATATGAAAATTTGTACAAAGATGTTTAGTTGTCTATTACTCAATCACGCTTGAACGGCTGACGGCTGAAATTTGGTACAAAGATGAACCATGTACTGAATTCACGCGGACAGAGCCACGGAAAATAGCTAGTAATCTGATAAGACTCAAAAAGAACCATTTGCAAATTTAAAAATTAAAAAACGATGAAATGACAATAAAATTAATGTATTAATGTCACATCAGGATGACACATCCACTCGAGGGGAGTATTCAAAGTTTCAATGTCGGCATATCTAAAATAACTTATCTTTGACAGTTCAGTGAATGTAATCGTTTGGGCGGTGGCCAAAGTGTTCATCTACCTAGCAGGTAAAGTAGGCAATTGGCCAATTTGAAACATAATTAAATGTTACAATGACCAAGGGAGCCTAGACATCGATTAGATACCGTTAGATTGGTCACGAGAATAGCATCGCAGTTACGAAATCAATCAAATAATACGTGGAATTGAGTTTGATATCTGAAATAATCCTTTAGTATCCATGCAAAGTAACTAAGTAAGTATTTATAGGAACTGTAATTTTATGGTAAATAATGGAAAACGGCAAACTTTGTTTTCTCTTCTAGCCTCGTAAGGGATTTGAGATAATGATAAATGTGTATGTGGGGCCATAGGTAAAAATATTTATTAATATAAAAATTGAAATCTAAAATATAATATGAACCGAGCAAAGTTTTTTTTTATATATTTCTACTTACATTTTCTTAGGAGAAATATTAAGTTTCACTGATAGAGCACTTCCTTAGAAGAATGATAATAATTATACCTAGTATGGAATATTACAGAGTCTTGTAATTTGTATTTTTTATTTAATCTATAACCCACTTTCAGTCTAGAACGATAATCAAACAACTCAGCTGTTTTCAATTATAAATTGAATTTACAAGTTTCAAATTTTTTTCTACCTGGACCCTTTCTACATGCAATACTAACAAAAAAAGATATAAGTAATAAAATTAGTGAAAAGCAAAACAAATTAGTCGTAAACAAAATAGTGGCACTCATGAATAGATAGCTACTACACATTATGACAAAAGATCCATCAAACAGCACTGTAAACCATAATTCAGGAAGCCCATCAACGCTGCATTAATGTAACGGTAGAATCACATACACATATAGAGATAAAAATAAATAATAACTTAACAAACTGTAATAAATAATATTGAGTCTGAGTTCTAATATATCAGGTAATTTATCTATCAGATAGCGTATTACGTACTTAATTGTAAACAAAATAAATATACAAGATGTTGCTAATGATTGTTGGCACAATTCATCATTCTTAATGATAACACTTAAACTTCCACAGGTTTTGTTTTACTATATAAACTTTATGAGTTGATCGGTTACGTAAAATGAACGTCTTAAAATAAGTTACATAAACATAATTGAATAGACTTGTTACAACCGCAATAAACACAATGGATTCTCATCATCGGAATTTCCTTGAATCTTTACACGAATTTTGTTTTTAGATTTTTAAACGTATGAATTATGTCGTTAGGTAAGATATTTATTATCGTTTGTTCTAGGTCACTGTCGTAGTACGCTATTTTTACTTGCAACTATAGAACAATAATAATTGTCTCACTGTTTCCAAGACAGTTATAAATGTATGTATTATGTATATTTAACATTAAAATATTATCATCTATTACGATCTAAGAAACTATTTTTGTATACTAATATATTAATTAAATACAGTGAGTATAAGAGTCTCAGAATTGCTTAAAGAAGAACTAATAACCGTGGCTCATAAATTTAGACCAGGAGTTTTTCAATAATTGAAAATGTTAATACAAAACTGAAATTGTATTTAATTACAAAACGTGAAATGAAACTATGTGTATTTTCCTTTGTCACTGAAAAAAAATATTGAATAATACAATTTTTACAAACTTCTAAATGAAATGTATGGAATACAACAATCCATCTACATATGGATTTTAAACAGTTGAGAATTTTATCAAAGAAATAAGATTATAATACAAGTATTTCTATACGCAGATTTTTTTATTGCATTTCCGTATTAAATTTATGTGATCGAGGTTACAACACTTTTAGCAATAAAATGTTTATAAATTTTCGTAACTACAAGTTTCCAAGAGTCAATGAAGATAAGTGCGTCATTGTTTATTTATAAGTCAGAATAATGGGCGGAATAAATAAACAAGTAAATATATTATATTTTTTTTGTTCATTCGCATTAATAACAAAAGGCGTATCATTAAACAAACCAACAGCTGTTGGAGATCAAGGTGACACCGACGGGGAACTGTATGTTAAAAGAATTATTAATGGAGAGAGTAAGTATTTATAGATATTGCTAAGATAAATATAAACTATTATGAATTGTAATCCCGTTCTTACATAAACATTATGATAAAACAATTATCTTTTAGAGATATCAGACAAACCCAGTTATTTGCTTTTCACCGCACCCTATAGACTATGTAAAGGTGGCTGTAATACCACAGACAACTTTGTTTTTGCATTTCCCTTACATATTGGAAAAAAGGGAAAGGAAACTTACCGGAATTTATACAGCAAGGACTTTAAAAGTATTCATTCTACAAAACTAAATGCACCATTTCGTAAGAAAACAACAAGAGAACCTATTACTCCTTGTCCGACATTAAAAATTGAAGTAACTAATACTATCTCACCGGTACTAATACCAGAATATGCGAGTATAACAACTACCCCGAAAATAGATGTTGATGATAATGTCACTACTGATTTTATAAAAAACTTTACAAAACAGAAAAGAGAAAGAAGTTTCGAAAATACTAGAAGTATAACTAATACAAAAATAGATATTGGTTTGACTACTATTACATATTCAGTAACAACTACTATGAAACCCACTACAGAGAATGGTTTACAAAATTCTACAACTGTAACGATTGCTACAGAAACAAAATTCGACACGAATGCTACCACTAATTTTGTGACAAATAATACTAATCATACTAATTATAATTTTGACAGTACTAAGTGTCCAAAAGTATCTCCAAGAATTTGTAACAAAAGAAAAAAACTAAATAAATTTACACCAGATTATGATGATGTGGTGACTGGTGAAGATTACAAAGTATCTGATGTTAATGAAATTTTAAAGGAAAATGAAGATTATCTGAATTCATATGAATTATCTACAATAGATTACTATTAAATTATTTGTCAAAAATTTATTTAATAATCTTTCGCTAAAAAATATAAAGCTAAACTGTACAACAGTTTCGTTTTTACAAAGACAGAAATAGAACCCTTGTAAATTTATTATTCAGTACTGAAAATATATTTTTTACCTACAAAGTTAATAAAGTATCTTAGAGAACCAAATTTTTCTTAATTCGCAGATAATCACACTTTTTTTATTGCAATTAGCAATTTTGGTGACTAATCAGAATGATTTACCTTGGAATAAGTGGTCATGGTCAATTCCACAAAAGCCTATTGAAAATTTTTTTCGAAGACAACAAAATATGCCTGTGAAGACACCTGAATTTGAATGCAAGTGCCCTCCGCATGAAGGTAAATTATAGTAATACAATATAAGTGAATTTTTGCGTCATATATCATGATAATTTCAGTTTTATATTCAAAAAATTGCTAAAAACGGCTGAACGGATTTGGTTCTAAATTAAAATGATACTACTTTTTTTTTAACAACTTCAAAAAGGAAGAGGATCTTGATTCGCCTATATTTTTTACATATTATATGTATCTTTACTAATTTTAAACCGATTTTGGTAATTATTTTGACAATCAATATCACTTATCTATCTCATTTTAGTCCCATAATCACATTAGTATGATTGAATTTTTAAAATTATTAAAAAATATTATTACAAAACTACAAGATTTAACCCTGTCATTCGTAAATATAAAAATCATTTTGGTAACATCTTTGTTATGTTTGTCATAACTACAAATAAAAATATAATATTAGTTGAACAAAACTAGTAAACTTAAATTCAATACCTCTTTTTTGATTTTGTTTAAAAAATCTGACTCATCTCATTCGAGTGATCGTGTACTAAATATAGAAGCATGTCATGCATATTCATTCAACAACCCAATGCAGAAATAAAATCACGTTTATTTTTTATGAAATAAACAACTGCATAATATCAACTTACAGATATTCATGGTTTACATTATGCACCACTCGAAGTGCACCAATTAAGCATTCAAGACATAAAAGAAACTTACTGTCCGGTTGAGTTGTTAAAAGTTTCCTTCTTATTTCATTTTCTTCTATCTGTAAAGGCTTATATTCCGTACCATTTCTACTTATATAGACATATTTTTGAGTAACGTGTTAATTATATACTATATAATTTTTTTACATATTATGTATTATAAATGTGATAACATAGTAAAAATTTATCCCATTTCAGAATGTGTTGTGGAATTTAAAATTAATGAATACATAATAGAATTTCTTAATCTCCGAAGAGTATTGAAAAATGATGAAGCAAAAATATATCAGAAGGAAATTAAAAAAATACAACAATCGACTTTTCCTGCAAAAGAAATTATAAAAGATAGACAAAGAAGAAGACGAAGTCAAGATTTTACTGAAGTTGATTGCTGCTGTCCTCCAAGAACTGCGATGATGCCCACATTTATCACGGAGCAGAAATTCGACGAGGCCGTTGACAAATTTAATAAGAAAAAAGACCCGCCATCTACCAATCATGCACGATTTTCAAATAAATAATTAAATTTTTGAACAATTTACAAATTTGACTTGTATGTTTTCACCCTTGTAAACCCTTTTAAGTTACACACAAGTTTAGTTCACTTTTGAATTTATTTTTCCTATGGAAATTCTAAAAAAATACATATACCAAATAAAATACATATTAAATATAATTGATTCTTATTCCAATTAGTTTATGTTCATAGGTAGCTGACAAAGTATTAGGATATAGAACACACTTATTAATATTAAATAAACCCATTGCATTCACTGTTTCACCGAAAATCAAAAATCTATTACAATTTTCTCATAAATTTTTAATAACAGAGTAATAATAATTAATACTGAAATCAAAGGAAAGTCATTAAGTAGTTATTGATTGCAGAACAGATTTTCAATTTAACCGAGCCTTTTAATAAAGTTCCATTCCAATTCTTCATAATTAAATTTTAAGATCAAAGAATTGCATAATAATAATTTTTGACGTCTTTTTTTTAAGAATATAAAGCAAGAAAAATAATTCAGAGGATCGTTTATATGAAACTTTAAGTGTGTTAATATTTTGTTTCTATCTCGTCTTCCAACTTACTTATGGCCACTAGTAACGATACCAGATGCCGACGAAGCTAAATCTTAATAAAATTAGGGCATCAACAATTAGAAGACTGGCCTGTATGTAAGCTTAAAAATTATATCGCAATCCGATAAAAAGAGGCTGCATATTCACCGATAAGGGATACAAAGAAAAATATTTAAAAAAAATGTAAAAAATATTTAAAAAAAAACTTGTCATTACTTTATATAGGTGCCATTACAAATTCTCAAATGTACATATTTCATAGCCTCCTGCCACACAAAGATATACCTTTTAACCTGAAATAGAAATGTGCCCGGATTGGTCGTAGAAAATGAAATAAAAATAAAAAATAATAATAATATAATTTATTTTTGCTATGAAATGAAAGGCTCTTTGTTTTCGTTTTATTACGAAAATAAGTAACAAACTTTTGCAATAAAAACCATGATGTTATATAAATATACTATACTAGTGTTTTTATTTTTAGGATTCGGTTTTTGCAACAATTCTAGTGATAATTTAACAATAACTGAAAATACATGCAACGGTAACAAAACAAAATCTTCTATTTGCATATAATAATTTTAAAACCGTTGTCTTTGTAATTTACCACCATACCACCAATAGTCGTGAGGACAATCTCATCATCATCATTATCATATCAGTCTTTAACTGTCCACTGCTGTATATAAGTCTCCCCCAAGGGGTATTTTGCCAATAGTTGCCACGCGTGGCAGGCAGTCAGGCTTTAGAGATGTTTTAAGAGGGACGTTGCTGCCCATCACTCGCCCTCCCTTAGTCAGCTCTTACGACCACGGGATTTGAAGGCCTATTCTATGCGAGGACCACACGGGTAATAAATCTGAATTTCCAAAACCTTCCACTAGAGGTATAGCTAAGTTTTCAATACAAATTGTTGACGTACAGGTTACCGTAGTAGCGTAAATCAATAATGCCGATTTATACTACTACATTTAAACTCAGAGCAAAGACTGTTCAACACTTAATGATATAAGTTTATTTACCGAACATTCGGTCGAGGAATTGTCTTACTGCTGTACTCAGTATGTGTAACTTAGATAATAATTTCAGTAGTAACAGTCGCCAGATACCTGACAAATTTCCAGCTGAGATACAAGTATACTATTAGCTGCTCGCTCCGGCTTGGTTCTGGTGTAAATTTTCACTTTTTCGTACAATTTTAATTCTTTTTTATATAATTCTTGTCTACACAACAAAACAACAAAAGGTAATTAACCTTAGATACATTCGTTAATTCTTTAATATATATCCTCGTAAATTAATAAATGTCTTTTAATATATTTTGTTGTCTATATTTTTCTAAAGTTATTTTTTTTATACAACTTAGAAGGGCAAACAAGCTGACGGCCCACGTGATGGAAAGTAGTAACGGTCGCCTATAGACATGAGCAGTACCATGGACATAACAGAGTACACTGTTTCGCCCATGATATCCCCCATGCGTTGCCATTCCTGAGGACTCAGATGTTATTCCTCTGTACCCTTCAAACCGAAACACAGCCATGCAAACACAACTGCTTTATGGTTGAAACACGAATGGGACAGAGGTACCCAAGCAAACAACTTTCATACAAAGTCTCCTTCTGGTATTATACTACTAACATAATATAATTTATATATTACAGAAAATTGTGCTGATAAACCTCCTCTAATCGTCTTACCCGTCGTTATAAGACTATTTCGATATCCAAAATTCAATCAAGATGGTCAAAAGAAGGTGATGCAAGAAACCTAAAAATAAATTTATAATTATAAAATTGTACAAAATAAATTATTTATAGATAAACAAGTAAAAAAAGTTAAAAAAATGTAAAGGCTCTGAATAATTTACATATTTTTTTCTATTTTATCTTTTAAGGCACCATTCACATTTAACCATGTTTTCTTATATCTCATGTCATATTACCATAGCGTTATTATTACACTGATGATATTAGTTATCAATGCATGAGCTATAAGGAACAGTGACAATGAATTGTTTTCTATCTAACTTGTTTAATCAAACCTTTAGATTAACCCCAAAAATCCACAATAGCAAATTTCATTGATACTAGCTATTTATGAGGACGTCATCATCATTTCTATAATTCATCGTTCACTGTTCAGTAATAATTTTATCCCATGTATTTACCATATAGAACCCTACATTACCTACATCTATCGGTTCCCTGCATCCTATTTGAGGAAATCACTCTATTCTAAAGAAGGAGAGTAGCTTTCTGTTGTACTTACATGTACGAAGTTGTCACTAAAAGTCTTTCTCACCCGTCATTAACATATACTAAATGTTTCCTGTGACTTTGCCCACAAATAAATATACACAGTATGCTGAGTAACTTATTGGATATAACGAACCCGTGTACCAAATTTCATTGAAAACCCTTCAGCCATTTAAGAATTATTGTGTAACAAACATACAAGCATGCAAATATCATAAACTTTTACATTCATAATATTAGTGGGATAGGATCCAGACCTTATTTTGTACCCTAAAAATTTCTATTAAATCTTATAAATTTATTGTTAAAATTGTATACAATATATTTTAATGTAAAACCACTGAATTAACTTACGTGTAGTTTTTGTAAAGTTTGCTATCTGGTCCTGGCATAAAATAAAGCACCCTTTCCTTTCCTTTGGGTGGTGTAATAGGCGATTAAGGAAACTTAATAATCAAGGGATGGACAGCTGCGTCCCTTTTAAAACATCACCAAGGCCTAACTGCGGTTGCCAACCCGCCTTCCAAACATAGCAACGATTGGTAATACTACCCAAGGAGAAAACCTATGTTCAGCAGTGAACAATTGACGGCTGACATGATGATGATGATGATGATTTTAGTTTAAATTATACTGCATGAACAGCATCTTATAAAATTATTAATGTTTAATAAATAAATAAATAAATTAGACAAGTTTATTGAATAGAATGTACAGCAAAGATTTTCAACTGCAATTTGCATTTATTAATTACCGAATCAATGACTCCAAACGTGTATATTTTTCAAAAATCTTGATATTAACTCATGAAATCAATACTAAAGTGGAAAATATAGAGTTTCCCAAATACTCTGTAAACCACAGTTAATAAAATACCCTTTACCTACTTTCATTCCATAAATAATTTGGTAGGCTAAACCCACGCAGTGTGCTCTATTTGATTAGTCTATCAAATCATCCATTTATATTACTAAGGGTTACATTCGTAATAAAATGTCGATAATGCTGAAGATATTCTCTGTATGGTTACAGAATGAGAATAGAATTTGTCAAACATCTTTTTATATCCAAGATATTGTAAAAGGCAACTAGGGAGGTAAACAGTATAATACTCATGATCAAATAATGGGACGTTAATGAATTGAATAGTAAGTGGTAACGAAAAGAAAACATCACAATAATATGTAAACGAGTGTATATTATATATCTATATATAAAAGTTACATAACGAAACTGTAATTTCTTTTCTGAACCGATTCCTCTCTCATATATCCTCTCAGGTAATAAAATAATTTTCCAAATGGGTAAATCGATTTACAGCTGATGGAGTTATGAGTTAACAAACAAAAAACTACAACCAAACTATGAACATCTTTCTTTTTGAAGTTGGTTAAAAAGACGTTATAGTTTAAGTATGAAAGAATAATGGCCCCATTGATAGCAATATATGCTTATACCTCCATAAGGTATTCCTTGGAGGTAACTGTTATTAATTTTTGACAAATTCCTCACGATGTGCCGACTGACCTGACCTGATAATCCTCACCTATCAACAGCGCACCCGTAGTTACCATTCCATTTTCATTTCATAGAATACACTTTTTCAGGCTCTTTCCAGATAAAAGTCAATCTCACACAGTGGGATATTATGTTATTAAGATATTAACAATAGAACAATGCAAAAACACATTATATACTAGGTATATAGGAAACATACATTAGGTATATTGCATAACACCACAGGTGGTCACTAGAAATTGCGTTGGCATGTACAATGTACATAGAACGTAAATAATATTACGCACTAAACGAGTGCTAATAAAACGCGAATGAAAGATGTTGACGTTAAACACAAATCAATGAGGAATACAATGGTAAGTCTTTGTTTTGAGCGAATTTTTAAATCGAAGGAAAAATAAGCAATTTATATTAGCAATTTATTTAAAGTCTTACAACTTATCTTACTAATATAATAAAACTGTAACTAAACAATGTCTGTGCGTGGGAGATATTTAAGATAAAAATTGTGTCCCACAAAAAAAAAACGATTTCAATAGTGAGAAAACCAGTTATTGTGATTTAAAAATTGAACTGCTGAACAGAGATTAATAAAACTTCTATAGGATTAAACTGTTGAGTATACCCTTTCAGATGAATAAAGAATTTTTCAAATCAGTTTAGAACTGACGGAGTTATAAGGTAATAAACGTAAAAGAAATACAACCGAATTGAAACTTCCTTTTTTTTGAAGTCGGTTGAAAACAATAATAAGAGAGTTTGTATGTTTGTTCCGGCAGCACGCAGTAACTACTGTTCCAAAAGTTTTCATAGTTATGTCTGTGAAAATCTAACTTCTAACTAGGTTATAACCTACACAATCTTAAAATGTGGTGTATGTTTCATCTTGATACGCCACGTAGAAGTAATACATTTAATTGATTTTTCTAGTTCTAAAATCTATAAGTACGATGTAACTGACTAGTACAAAATATAAATTCTGAAAATAAATTTAAATACAAAATAATTGCGTATCAGTATCCTCATTATGGGTATTAAATAAATTATGGGCTGTATTTAATTGGGTCTTCATGTTTTGGGTCGGTACATTTTGTCTACACAAATAAGTTTCTAGCATTCTCTAATAACGCAGAAACATAAGTCACTAACAATGCTTTGATAGATCGGTATAACTTTGAGATGCGGTTAGGAGTATTGGATACAATGTTCTTGTTCTAACTCTGTGGATAGACTAGAGCGTTGGGTTATTAGTCAGTCGCTATCCAAATTTGTCATTGCAACTTTTGATATTATTTATGTTCTGTTAACTAATCGGAATAGAATCAATCAATGATTCCAATATAAATTTATCATCATCATATCAGCTTTTAAACGTCCACTGCTAAACATAAGTCTCCCCCTTAGGGGGTTTTACCAGTAGTTGCCATGCTTGACAGGCTATTGGCAACCGCAATTAGGCTTTGCAGATATTTTAAGAGGGATGCTGCTCACTGCTCACACATCCCTCGCCCTCTCTTAGTCGCCTTTTACGACACTCACGGGAAAGGAAGGGGTGGCCTACTCTATGCCGGGATCACACGGCAATAAAAATTTATAAACCCTAATTTTCTAAAGGCTAAATTTGGCTTTTGTTTGTAAGTTGTTGACTGGCTAAAAGACTGCTATTTAGCACTAAGGGCGCCTTTCACCGTTTTATTGTAAATAATCTGAAATGTTAATAGGAATTAGAAGAGAAACCATTTAATTAAACCAAACAAAATTTTTAAGTTATATAAAGAACTAAACTTTACAGTTTACCTATTTTTGTAACTTGAAAATTTAGGATTTAGAAATAAGCTTCAATTGTACTTAAAGCAATTTTTTTTAATTTTCGTGCCACAATTGTCATATAAACCTATAGCATTGTGGTACATAACATTATCAATTCAACAATTATATTTTACTAGCTTAACCTACATAATTTTCTAAATAAATTAGGATAAAAAGTGATCTAATCTGTTTAGCTATTTCATAATCATTTTTAAATAAGTAACAAGAACGAACAAATAACAAACCTTCTAATATCAATCAGATTCCATCAATATATGTGCTTTATTATATATTATTTATTTTCAGTTGTATTGGAAATGCATTCTGTTATTGTTAAATGAATTGATAAAAAACTCATTTCAATCTATCGCTGGTGTCACTTACATGGACAATTTCGATTTTGAAGATAGATATAGAGATATAAATGAATGCAATCCCTTCTACTGGCACCCCCTCCATCTTCCAGAAGCCTGTGCTGAAGTGTTCAATAAATTAAACCGCTCACGTGTATCTTCGGCAGTACCAATCAGAATAATGAAAAGAAACGATTTGACATATCCTTTTGTTGAGTACCAATCGGATCCAATCGAACCTATTTACAATACAGATTTTGATTACTATAAAAACGCATTGATGTCACCATATGAAAAAATGCTATATTTAATGTGGAAGGACGCAATCAATTTACCAACTGCACCTAAAATCACAACGCTGCCATTTTTGGGCCCAGTCGCTTTGTACCATCAGCCTATTTCTAAAAAAAGTGAAGCGATGGTAAAACAAATTGCTGTAGCTTACTCTTATCCTGGCAATAATTACAAACCATTTTATGTTAACAATAATACCACTGAATCGCCCCCCAAAGAAGAACACACTCAAGAAGAAAATAATAAAGATAATGTAGAAAGAGCGAAGATACCGAGGAAAAAGTATTACATTAAAAAGAGAATAAGAAATGGCAATATCTTAACTATTTTAAAAACAAAACACAATTAACATGAAAGAAAAAATATATTCCACTACATTTTTGCAATATAGAATAATTATGTAACAGGATGCCCACCGACACATTCCACCATCGAATTCATAGTCATACTTTAGGATCCAAATTATTGCACTCAGTACAAAATTTTGAGGGCAAGGGATTGTTAATAATGGAGTCTAACAACCTAATTGTTAGCAATATGCCTTATCACGTCGACCTTCACGCGGTCCTTCCTGTAATCTATCGTAGTTAATTATTGTCTAATTTGTCACGATGAGCCAACTGATATGTTTTCATTCTGACCTATCGTCTCTCACTGGTGCCCCACTAGCGTTAATACATACCCAATAGAGCAAGCGGGCTTACTGTTCCATTTTCACTTATTAAAAATAGAAAACCTCACGAAATAGAATATGAATTGCTTATGTAAAAGATTTCCTGTTTATTTTTAATTATAATAATGTAATTATAATAGTATAAATTGTGAAATATATTTTTTATAAATTCAGCTTAAAATCATTCTTTAAAGGAAATAAGGTATATCTAACCCTAACTACAAACAATGCTTGTAGTGTTTCATTGTACGCTATTCAATGATACAATGTAAGCATTGAAGTATGTAAAAAAGAGTAAAATCACTGTTCAGTGATTCAGTCATATCTTAAAAACAGAACATAATACTCGTTATGATACTATTGAAGGTAAGTTCTTTATAATTTTTTTTTAATTAAACTTAATTAATATTAGCGCAGTTTCAATGTATATGTATATGTATCTTCTTAATATTCCTAGTAATCAAGTGTAATCTGAATAGACAATATTATAAGACCTAATAAACGTATTATGACAAATTAACTGGAAAATATATAAAAAAGAATAAATTTTCATATTTTTTTTTTGTTACTTGTATTATTAGTTAATTCTTAATAAGTGCAGCTCCTAAAGGAATGCACTTACATACGATGCCTAATTTTTTTTATATACGTTGCAATAAGACTTAAAAACTACTTTTAAATATATATTTTTTTTTTTAGAATTAGATTAGTCTAAGTACTTAGATATCTAACAGTATATATTAAAAAGACTATGCTTTGCTGAAGATTTAATTATTGATCATCATTCCTCATTACATAAAAAGCAGTCTTATAGGAATAATGTTGTGTAGAATAATAATAATAAATGACACAAGTAATTTTTTTTCTTATGTATTTATTGATTTTAGAATGGCAAAACAAGCTGACGGCCCACCTGATGGAAAGTGGTAACAACAATAGATATGAGCAGTACCATAGGCATAACACAGTACAACGACTGTTTCGCCTATGATACCCCTTTCCATTCCTGAAGACTCAGGTGTTATTCCTCTGTATCTTGTAAATTCACTGCCATATCCCACTCTTCATACCGAAACACAGCTATGCAAACACAACTGCTTCATAATAAAAACACGAATAGGACAAATATAATGTAAATGCGTATGTAAATACCATGTAGCATCAGCTAGGTCTAAACTAACCAAAACTTGTACTATAGACAATAGACAACACATAAATATACTTAAATACTTTTCTTAAATACATATTATACATACACGACGATTAGATTTATAATCGTCTTTTCTCTCCAAATTCTGTTAAAAATCAATTCATGTGGCCCATTAGCTACACGGCGGAGTCCGCAACGTGTGGCTACCAAACTTCCTGCATATCTCAAGGTTTATCATAATCCGTTCAGAATTTTACGCCTAATGCTTGCACAGACTAACGAAAAGTACTTTACTATTTCATTATGAGAGACTAGCTATAAAACGCAACTTTACTCACCTGAATTTGGTAAAAAGTACCTATCCAATTTACGATTTAATCTAAAATTATAATGCACTTAGTGTAGGTCTCACTCTTAACATACGCATGTGTAGATTTATAAATATAATTTTATATAATATTTATTAACCTAGCACGTGAGCTTGTGTATTATACGTATAAATTTCAAGTTATTGAAATTTACTTAAATCTTTAACAAATACTTATCAATTTAGTAAATACCCTAGTAATAATACACCTGCTAATTTATGATATCACAAAACAAGTATAGTTTTGAAATAAAATAAAATATATTAGGTACAAAATTTCAGTGTAATCCATTATGCATTTTCATGCGTAATGGATTCGTAATTTTAATGCGTATTTTAATTCAAATATCTTTACTTTCGTATTTAAAATATTGGTAGATAGGATTAGATACAAATATATACTCATGCAAAATACACTCTAATACTGCATCTCATTAGAGAACTCGACTCGATTTTCCATGGATTTCACTAATGACTGCGATAGGAACGTATTATGTTCACATTATTAGAACTACGGCTACTGAATTTTAGAATTTGTTTTCCAATTATTCAACGTTATCTTATAATACTGATGTTATTGAATAATTTTGTTCATTTCTAGATGCTGATCACCTTTATTTTTATAAATTTGTCAAAGTGTACGATACAAGGCATAAATTACATGGACCCACTGAATATAAGATCAACACAAGACACGTGGCATCGAGGAAAAGATCCTTGCAATACTTTATATTGGTATCCTAAACAAATTCCAAACTATTGTTACATTACGACTCCTAAACCCGAAATAGGCGCACCTCGTGTACCTATACCTTTACCCATACCTGTTCCATTACCACTTGCGCCTATGTTTCCAGCACCTCCAGCTTTACCCTTACCTTATGGTATCCCAGTTGCTCCATCTAATCCAATGTTACCTATTGCTGGTGTACCTTACTCTGCCCCAATAGTTCCTTTTCAATATCAACCTTATTATAGAAGAAACCAGCTTGGCATGGTTCCAGGTCTACCAGGTTTAGTAACTCGAGATAGAGGAATAAATATTATGCCATTTTCAGACGTATATTCTGATTTAATGGAAAAACAGAAGAAAAAAATGCTAACAGAGAAACTTTGGCAAATTTTCAAAGCTTATGATGATTATCCGTGGCACAGACGTATAAGATCAAAGAAGTATAGAAAAAGGTTGTAAATATAACAATCTATCTATCCTATTTAATCCTCCTTTAATCTTTACTCCATCCTCTTATCATTCACTACGATTTTCAGCGCGTTTCTTCACCCCTTGACAGAAGGGAAAAAATCTTAGGACACTTGATACGATACGACCAACTTATAAACATTATAATAGAAAACAAGATAGTAGGAAGGAGGGGAAGAGGGAGACCAAGGCATAGTTACATCAGGTAGATCAAGGAAGGAGTTGGTGTCGTGTCGTATCATTAGGTGAAGAGATATAATAATAGTAGAAAGAATTTATTCTTTGTTTTGATTTTGAAGTTATTAAGAAATATAATGACAATCGAAAGCTGAAGCCGTTATAAGAATAATCATCTTATGATCACAGCAAACACAAGAATTACTTATTTATATAATAGGTATATTGCATATAATTATACTTTAACATTCAAAAATAAAATATTGAATACACAAAAGAATGATAAAGAAAAACTATAAAATTCGGCATAGAAGGTTTTTGTAATTATAAACACTTAAAGAGCAATTATATAGTTTATTTAAAAGAACTCTATATATACATATTACAGTAAGGATACATATCTATTTCAAAAAATGTTTGTTAATTATACATGGCTACCTATAAATTTATACATGTTGTTTTGAATTGTTTCATTTTTCTACATCTTGATTAAGTTGAATCAATTAAAACTACATCCTAGATCTAGTTTGAGCTACTCCAATAATTTAGTCGTGTGATGAGTAAGTCAGTACATAATTACTCCACCCCACTACAACCATCTAAAATTTTGTTATTTGCACTTATATCGCTGCTAAATTGCTCACCACTTGACTTAATTTCTAAAGTAGTCTGAACTAGGATTTCTTATCCTAGTATAAGTAGACTAATTATTCGATATATGCACCTCAATTCTAAAATACTGTTTCAAGTAGAAAAAAAAAAATAAAGAAATGCCCATAATCTATTAGAATGACGAAAAATACAAATTTCACGAATTAAAAAAAAAATATTTAACACAGTATTGTGATGTAAGTTTCTTATTTAATTAATGTCATTTCATTATGTCTTAAAAATTGCCATAATACCTATTAGTAATTATTATAAATAACTTATTTAATGGACGGAATACCTGAAGGCTTTAATATGTACATGTATACTAATATCTAAGTTATTACCTAATTGTTAATTACCTAAAAACTTGGTTTCACACCCTCTACATAAAATAACAGATACGAAATCTTCTTCGAAGGTACATACCTAATTACTTACAAAGATATGAATGTTTTTGTCTAATTTCAAAGCTTAGTTTAAAGTTAGTATTAAATTTACTTCAAATTACCTCAATTATCACAACGATAATACCATTCATAAGACGAGAAAATTATTAAGAAATTATACCACTCTGCCATACTCATAGTACAAGTTCATCAAGTTTTTATAAAATGCCGACTTGAAATGTTGATGATGAGATTTTTTGTTTTTCTTTTTTTTTTTAATCCCTCATAACTCTTGTAATTTACATTGTGATATGAGGGGCTAAAATTCCTCTATACACGAATCGTAATAGGATCTACTTTTTACAATCCGCCAATGTATATGTATTAGTCGATTAATATTATACCCTCAAGGTATATGGTCTATTGAATTCCGCGGGTTATGCTAAATATATCCTATTATGATTCATGTAAGGTGAACTTCTTAAATCTCTAAGTGATACAGCTGTCTCGCGTCCAAGAAAAAGTTTAAGTTTGGGTGAATTAATGAATATCCTAAACAAAATTTAGTACAGTACCTAAGAAGATATACCTACCTATCGTCACAATTTATTAATGTATAACTAAAATTATATTAGACATTTTTACATACATATAGCTGTTTGTTGTTGTGTATGTAACTACTTAGTAGGATACTTAACTATCAATCTCCGACTATCATCCCGGCCACGCGCATTTTGCGACATGTTTCGCCTCTAAACGAGGCATCTTCAGGCAAATTAATAAATCGCTGCTTGAAGCCTAATATTAGCCGTTGGCTCCCAAACTGCTAAATAGCAACGACTGCGAACTACATGCATGGACAAAATAGTGATCGGAGATGGATAGCTAATATAGAAGTAGTCATCCTTCGAGTGTTGACAGTCGCATACACACTAATTGTAGCGAAACAGAACAAAATAATTCTAACCAAATGACCAGTAAAATGGACTTCCGCAAAATAACACGCAGTTCAGTAAAATATTTAGCTCTACAATTATAACAAAATTAATACTGAATCAGTGCTGGAGAAATTGTTATAAGAATGACAAAAATAATAAAAGATATCGCATAGAATGCATCGAAATGGATTCGCATTTCAATGATATACATTAATTTACGGTGTTATGAAACTAAACTAACTCATTTTTTAGGTAACTTAACAATAATATTACGATATACTTTAAAAAAGTTAGTTTTGTTTTCATTATAAGTTGAAACGATAGCACTGTCTTTTTAATACTATTTAAGTAACTAAACAGTTAGTTACTGTAATTATTGTATTAACATGCAGCAATATAACCTATATTGTTGTATATTAATACAGTTGGTGACATTTCAAATGCTGCCCATTGTTTACACTCTAGCACTGCAGTTCCTTTAGGTAAACTACCTGCACACAAATTCAATGGAGGTAAACGGTAGACAGGAACTAAATATGTGGTTACAGGTAGGTATATGTTGTTATGTTCGTACTGAATAAGACTAAGTTTGAATATAACAAATCTACTTACTTGAACGTATATGAAATATGCTAGTACGATGGAAAGTATGTCGCAGACACGATAAACAATTATCGAGATATATATGTAATTACAAACATAAAAAATAGAATTCTAGTTTGAAAATAGAATGTAAATAATATATAAAATTAAAAATTATTAAAATTCAGATCAATTTAAATATAATACTTATTCAAACTTACTAACTAGGATATATATTAATTACAAAATTACAATTACTTATATGTACTTATTTAAATTATTTTAATACCTAATTATTCACACTAAATCTACTGGAATGTTCTGTATGGACGGTTGTGTAGTATAACCTTAATTTAATAATTAACATTAATACTTACCTTTACAAGCAGCTACTTATATAACATAGTTTATTATGAATTTATAAAAGTTTAATAATTACAGAATTTCAATTCGATTCAAACAATTTAACACCACAATTTATTGCACTAAGTATGAGATTTATTTTGATTATTATTGACTGCGATTAAATTTTTGTATAAAATATTATGTAAACTAAATCAATAATCTGTACAAACAAAAATATCTGTCGTATTTTCAAATCTCCACTTCTTCTGAAATTTACCATTGAAATATCAGATAATGTCACAGTCTTAGATTATATAGATAGAGTGTCTCCATAAAAATGCTTCGAAAAAACGGGTCAACTTTTTCATAAAATTATGCGTGATAAATAGTTATGAGTGTTTCGTTTATAACTTCTATATTTATTTTGTTTTATAAATTCTGCGTCTTTTTAGTGCATGAATACTTATTTTGTTTATTAAATAACACGTCAAAATACATTTAATGCGTAAGTATATGGAATACTGATAAAAATTTTAAAATTAGCTGACGAAAGTTAACCAGTTTTTGAAGCTACTCTATCTATATAATCTAAGGTCACAGTATGTGTATATGCCGTATAATGATGCATCTTCTAAAATCATCTATCTACCGATGCAGCAAGATGCAAGGAAGACAAACGACGAACAAATCCAGAGGGAGATTGTATAAAAATCATCTGTATGAGACCTCTTTCCCACTCATAATTATAGGGAAAAACAGCTTTACTTATATGGCGATGTTTCGGTTTAAAGGATAAAATAGGGCAGTTAAATTACAGGACCTAAAGACATAATACTTTTGTCCCCAAGAATAGCTACGTTTGGAAGGTCTCATGAGTATCATAGTATATTAAGTGATACGACTATTATTACATTTCATAAAGTGGGCAGTCAACTTGCTTGCTGAATTTAAAATCTTTAAATGAAGAACTTAAGATGTCATTGACTTGTTTTATCCAATGCATGCAATAGCGATAACGATAATAGTCAATATATTATTCACCAACATAGTATGAGTACGCTTCTAAAATGATATCTTGCTTTTTATAGCGTCATGCAACCTCGGTGTTCAACCGGAAAATTATTGATTTAGTACATTTTCAATACATTTCTGATAGTACACATATTATTAATATTGGTCTTATAATAATCAACAATCAAGTGACTCAAACATGATTATCGTTATATATTTTTTTAATAGAAGCAAAATCCTGACCGCCCACCTGACGGAAAGTTGAGCCATTCTCGGGTATTAACGTTATGTCTCGTATATCAGAGATGTACTGACTCTTAACAAAATAAAACTCAACTACGACCGAAATACTACTCTATGACAGAGATTTCCTAATATTTTACATACCGTGTTAGATAATAACGAAAAAATATACAATGTTGTAAGTTTTATCATGAAAAAGTATATAATAAATCTATATTAAATCATTTAGTAGATTAATATTATAAGAGTTGTAATTGTGGTTTAAAAGAAACTAGTGACAACAACAAAAGAAGGTTACAAACATGAATGCAGGTAATTTCAGGAGAATTTAGCGTAGAAAATTATATATAAATATTTTGGTACGAATGCTGGAATACATATATTTAAATTGTTTGACACAAAATCGCTATTTCATACTCATTAAAAATTCTTTTATTTTATTTAATGCAATCCAATTATAATTAATTGTAAACTTATCTCGTTAAACTTGTCTTGTCATCGGATTTATTTATATTACCTGTTTATATTTTAAATATCTATCTATATTTTAAAGAATATATTTATTTTTTTGTATTTCAGTTATCAATGTAACAACATTTAAATTTAATTGATTTAAAATTAGATTATAATTTCAATTAAATATAAAAAAGGTTAGTGCAACATGATGCTAAATTATAGAAATATGTACGATTGACTATAATAACAGTCTGCATGGGCACTGCCTTATTTAAATGTGTATTTAACACAAATATATACATAGGTAAAGTAATTTATTTCCTTGTAACTCTCACTTTCTTTGAGTCTAGAAAATATAAATATTTGTATATAAATAGGCAGATTAATCACAAGTAACCTCAAATATACTCCAGATATTGTCGCGAGAATGGTTATGGCCAAACAAGTCTAGAATATAACTTATCAACAGCTATATATGGACTATAGCTTTGTATGGACGTGGACATTAACACAGAAAGAAACAGATAAATTTAAAACCCCTAAAATATGGTGCTGAAGAAGGATGGAGAAAATTGACTGGACAGATCGAATAAGTGACGAGGAAGTCCTACTTTCAAGGATTACCTAAGTTGAAGAAAAGAGACAAATTATAAAAACTATCAAGGTCAGAATTTTGAAATGAATTTTAGACACTTGATACGACACGACGAACTTATGAACATTATAACAAAAGGTAAGATAGAGGGCAAGAGGGAAAGGGGGAGACCAATACTTAGTTATGTTCATCAGGCAAATCAAGAAAAAAGTTGGTGTCCTGTCGTATCAAGAAAGGAAGAGACTGGCTATAAATCGTGGTGAATAGCAAGAGCTTCACTGACAAGAGCGCAGCTCTTAAATAGGAATAAATATAAGAGGGTCATAAAAATATTGTAAGTTGGTTCGCAATTCTATATCTCTACAGCAGATTGTTTTAAGAGTTGCATATTTTGTTATAAGTAATTTCTCTTAATATTCATTCACTCAAAATTGGCATTATATTTGTTGTAATGTATTATTAATATATAAAAATTTCCTACATATATTAACTTTTAGATTTCAGCGCTACATGTTTTATAGTTTATGAAAAACAGGAATTAACGCGACCATTTAGGTAAACTAATATATTATAATAATTTGATATGACTATTTTTAATGATTTCTACATATAGTCACGTAGCAACTAAATACATAATATATATACTAAGTTTAACTGTTATTACAGTTTAAAAAAATATAGTAGCGATTAATCCATAATTTTATTTTATAACCCCTAAATCTGGAATCTCAAGCCGGTACTTGCGCATAAGTTCTTACTTACCTTAAATAGGTAAGTACCTATATTTACTTACCATAATTAGGATATCTAATGTTTAATAAACGATATTATAAACTTAATTTACCTGCGATTACTATTATAATAGGATGATGATGATGATGATAAGCAAGACATATAATTTTCTTGTTATATCTAATAATAACTTTTTGAAAGTATAAAATTGCAAGTCTGTTAAGTACAAATCTAATATTACTTATTATTAAGTAAGAAATTACTTATTTTATAAAAGTAATAATTAGTAATTAGAATTATAACTGACATAGATTCACAATATTAATACGATCAACTTAAACACAAAAACACGAGGATTTTTTTTCTAACGTTACTATTAGAAAATCCAAATGATAGGTTAGTCATATAAATGTTATATTATTTTTATTAATCATTATTATTGTAATATATAATTTGTGATTAATAAACACGATCATTTCTCAAAGTGCGATTGATGGGAAAACATTGAAAAAATCGATATTCACACAAATATGACAAACCAAGCCTTCCTGTGTTAAAATTCTATTGGACAAATGAAAATAACTTAAACAGTAGCATATTATGACAATATTACAGCGAAAAATAAATGACAATTAAACATTCACATGTCACAACACAACACTTGAAATAAAAATACTACCTCAGCCATGCTGACGAATTTATTTGAACTTGAGTCGAACTCAGTAATATCTAATATAAATAAAACTAAAAATTTACATTTACATCTCATTATTGTAAATTTAATAAAATTCTATACATCATTTCATTTTTGTCAATTAAAATAATAATAGTTTCACAAGTTTAGTTATTTCAATCTAAATATATGTATATATTTTTTCCAAAATAATGGTTTTATAATAAAAAATATTTTCAAATAAAAATAAACTATAAAAAATATTTTATCTAATTGCGGTGTCCCTAGATTAGTGTTACATTGATTGACAGGTTATTGAAGTATTAAACTGACTCTTCAAACTTCAAAACATTAACAAATTTTAACCTATAATATTACAGCAAACTGCATGTGATGTATATCGTTTAGTCATAAAATAACTTCTTATCTAAGTTTTTAGGTATAGTTAAATTTAAATACCTACTTACGTTTTTAAATCCCATATTAGAATATATAATAAGTGCATTACCATTATATAACATTGCAAAAACACTTTTATGCTTTGACTACTGAATAAGTACCTACTCCTGGAGATGATACTTTCCCTTTCTGAGGAAAAAACCTATTATTATCACGCTGGCCCGACGGATTTGTACAGGATTTTAATTTGAGATTTCTTTCTCATGTACTGATGTATTGTGATTTGTTCCCATAGTCACCTCTTACGACATTTTAGGGCTGAAAAGAAGTGAGGGCACATTGTGTCGTTACTCCGACTTTACGCAAATAAAAATACTTTGAATGAAATATTTTTAGGTGAGCCTTTATTCACCAATGGAATCATAGTTAATCTGCGTATTTCAAAAGGAGAATTTATACCTATAAAGTCGTCATGGGTATCTATGATTCGTTCATGTTTCTCTCCACAAACAGCCCTTGTATGACTGTTTTACAATTATATAACTTCTGATTCCTCAGAAAAGGTAATGCATGAGATAGTACCATAACCAGCACAATGTATGCTGTGATATTCATGGTACTGTGATAACGGCACTGTTTATGATTATAACTGTAAAGATAATTAACATATTTATGATGACAGTGAGTTTTTCCACTTAAAGGGATTTAAAAATCATAATGAACAATTTTTTATGCAACATAGAATGGCAAACACGGTGACGGCCCACCAATTGTAATTCTCAAACCTATATCGCTACCACTAGTTTTACTTTATAGTTTAAAAAAAGCAAATTATATAGTAATAATCAATATTTATGTATAATAATGATATGTAAACGGAACGAACCCTTACGAATGCTTCATACTACGGATAGTACATATTTCATTAAAATCGTAATTATTTATAATAAATAATTTTAACTATAATCTCTTTTTGTTATTTTAATTTCCAATTTTGCAAATATAAACTTGTAGAATCTTTATAATAATATATTAAGTACTAAAATTATCACTATGTAAATATTTACTGTACCTAATAACAAAGTCTTATATTTATTAGATAGTAGTAATTATTTAAATTGATTTAAACAATTTTACTCTCTAAACTGAATTTAAGTAGCAATTGCCGCAATGCATTATTTACAATATTTTTATAAATTATACCGTACTTTGTTTTTTTTTATTTATATAATAAGTACTTAATACGAGGTTTGTCCGGAAAGTACGTATAAAAGTTTTTTAAAAATTTTATTTTACAATTATTCAGGTAAATCAATTTTATCCCCTTCAAAGTACTCCCCCTGTGACATAATGCACTTGTGCCAACGCCGTTTCCACTGTGAGAAGGCTCCTTGAAAGTCCTCTGGTTGTAGGTTTCTCAGCTGCCCCGTCGTAGCTTTTTTTATCTCATTTATGTCCCCCAAATGCCGCCCCCGAAGTACCAATTTGGTTTTTGGGAACAAGAAGAAGTCACACGGGGCCAAATCCGGCGAATAGGGGGGGTGTTCGGTCACCGTAATGGAATTTTTACTCAAAAACTCACGGACAACAAGAGAGGTGTGGGCAGGGGCATTGTCGTGGTGAAGAATCCAACGCCCCTCTCGCGCCAATTCTGGACGAACTCGTGCCACACGAGCTTTGAGGCGTCTGAGCACATCGACGTAGAATTTTCCATCAACTGTCTGGCCTGGAGGGACGAATTCGTCGGAATGTGAAGTGGAAGGACGTCCTGAACGTGGGTCATCTTGAACGCTTTCTCGGCCCTCTCTGAATCTTTTTAGCCACTTGTGGACGGTTGGTTCCTTCACAGCATCATCCCCATAAACTGTTCTGAGATCGGCAAAAATTTCACGGCCATTCTTGCCGAGTTTCGAGAGAAACTTGATTACGACGCGCTGCTCTTCAACGGAAGCGGGCTCCATGCCGACGGGGTTTCGTTAAGAGGTAACTTCACAGATGGCGTGACAAGCCAGTTCGCACCGCACGGCGGTCAGACCAGAACTGAAGCATTGTTAGGGACATAAGGAAGGGGTCCTGCGCTTACCTGGCCTCCCCACTCCTCTTTCTCGCATTCCAGAACACTTTTATACGAACTTTCCGGACAGACCTCGTACAAAGTTTACAATAATAATATCCCAAAAATAATGAATTCGCAAATCGTTATGATAATAAAAAGTACTTATTAAATTGTATTAGTACCCTAAACATGGAGTAATACTATATTGACCACAATTATTATTTGTGATTTTATAATACCCGTAGGTATCTAAACAACTAGATCCGTTATAAAAAGCTATAAATTACTCAAAACGCAAGTTTTCTTGAATTTTGGCCAAATCACAAAGTATAATTCTCTCTCTCTGCCCTATACAGCAATATCTTTACTGAAATTCCAGAATAATTATAGTATTGTAAACTCTATGGTAGGCTTGTCATTATCCACATATAAATATATTTTTTATTAAGTTTTATTGACTATATATGTAAAGAATTTATTCTCAATACAAGACTTTGAAATTTAATTGTAGCAGATTTATATAACTATAGTTCCTTTACAATGATAAGAATTTGTATATATCCTATACTACTCATCACACGTACCTAGATACTAATCGATAATATTTCTTCGAGTTCGATATATTTAGAACCTGTTCCCTCCAGTTTCTTCGGAAGGCAAAACGTTCAGTGCTCGATTGTCGTAAGAGAAATCTAATGTAGTATCTTCAGCTGGGTGTCGGTTGTTTAAAGATGTACTAACTGTTTTTGGAGTCGTTGCACCCTGACTCTTCTCTGTTTGTGTCCTGGTATCAAGATCTCTCGCATTCAGGGGCTGGGCTCGAGGGTTAGGGTTTCGCATTTCCAGCTTTAAATCCGGTTTCGGTCTCGCCATTTCAGCATGAGGGTTGCAATGCGTGATACCGGCATTCGAATGGATATTTACACGATTCTGAAAATATTACAAGGCAAGAATTAATAGGCTGTACATTAGATCTCATCAACACTTTCCATAAAGCAAGATCAAAGTTAATCTCGGAAGAAGAATCAGAAGATAGAATAATAGTATAAACAATTTACAAATATAAGTAGTTAATATTTGATTGATTATGTTACTTTATTCTATTAAAATATATTAAATAATATAATAATTATTATCGTAATTATATTACCCACATAAATGTTACATTTTCAATCGAAAGAAGAGGTTCTAAATTCAACTTTTTAGAATTTTACACGACGCCATATATTCATGATAGTTTTTGCAATAATTGAAGTTCATTCCCATGTGGATTCCTATTATAACTCTATTCGATCGTGGCAGTATAAGTTATTGACGATTGAAGCCAATTTTTTTGTAAAACTAAATCTTTTAACCTTGTTATCACTGGCTAGTTATTTAGTTTTTTTTTTTATACAACTTAGAATGGCAAACTAGCTGACGGCCCACCTGATGGAAAGTGGTAACCGTCGCCTATAGACATGAGCAGTACCATGGACATAACAGAGTATACTGTTTTGCCTATGATACCCCCCATGCGTTGCCATTCCTGAGAACTCAGGTGTTATTCCTCTGTACCCAGTAAATTCACGCCATATCCCACCCTTCAAACCGAAACACAGCCATGCAAACACAACTGCTTCACGGTTGAAACCTAAACAGTACTGCGACATGTATATTTAAACTCCAAGTCCAAGTGTCTTAACAAAAATATTCGTTAAACTTAAACATCAGTCTCTACACATCTATAAAACCTTCCTTAAAGTTACAGTGGGCTTTAAACGCCACGCGTGTCTATTATTGAGTGAAACTTCTCAGACCAGCTGTCAAGGTTAACGTGTAGCAATGAAGAGATTTTATTCCCTCTAAGCTTGAGTTGAGCAGAGGTAAATGAAACAGTATCATAAAACTTTATACAATGACATGAATATGCTCTCCCTTACACAAAATATAGTAATTATGAATAGAAGACAGCTTGTTTAAAATAAATATTAAATACATTTTTTTTTAGTACGTGTATGTTTCTGCAGCTATATGTGCATAACTGTATTTCAATTCGAAGATGATATGATAGTGAAATTACAGGATGTACAGACATGGACATTCTCCTATGGATATTACAGTGTATTCTATAATATCCATGGTGTATTACATGTCTGTCCGTAAGTGATGTTCGTCATTTTCCATCAGGTGTGCCGTCAGCTAGTTTGCTATTCTAAGTAATATAAGAAATTGCATCTTACTTTCGCTGGTTGAAACTTCTTCTTTATGTAACTCCACGTAAACCTCCCCCGACAAACGATGATGAGGATCAGCACCAGTACAGCCAATGACACCACGCTGATGATCAACGCCGCTTGCGCCTGATGTCTTACACCTTTTATCGGAACAAAATTATTTAAACATTTTTAGATTATTCTTAATAAAGAATTGTCCCCACACACCGGAATTTCCTTAATCCCTAAATGGACAATATAAATGATATAAAAGATACTTTTTAACTACGGACATATACCTCATTATAAATTTACAAACACAAAAAAGTAAGCACATTTCTTTTCGCAAACAGAATAATAATTTTAAAAGCACTTTAATCTTAGAATAGGTAGGTATTCTGTTACAGCTGTAAATGAAAGGATCAAAAAGAGTTTAAATCATTTCTTTTTTTTTTTTTTGGATAAAATACATTCAATTCACTTGGCAAAGCAAAAACGCGTTTTACGGAAAGCAAAAGCGTTTTAACGAATTACAATTTAATTAATTTCGCCCTGGGTTATTTCAGAATATTTTACAATGCCCTTTGCGCAAAAACTTACGTACACTCGCGGTTTATACCTACCCTATAATTTCATAGAACGAGGCCCGAAATGAACAAAATATTGTCAACTCGTTAAATATTTAGTCTGGAAAGCACAATTTGACAGAAAAAGGACGTTTTCATTTATAAAACTAGAAACCAATTTTAGTTGATGTTGTTTGGAGGTAAACTCCGGTTGGCTTTTAAGTCATCATATTTAGTTTCTCTGTGGCGGTTAAAAAAAGACTTGTGGCCAGATATTAATAGATGGTTATAATAGTTGTTCAACACCTTGATCATGACAAATTAATTCGACTTATATTATAATATGAAAACAAAATTATTACTCAAACACGCTATAATAACTGGACAAATTTCAATGAAGTTTAGTACATTTACCGCAAAGCAGCTCAATACATCATATCACGATCGTTTCAGCCGTTAACTGTCCACTGCTGAACAAAGGCCTTTCCCATAAAGGGAAGTTTTGCCTGTAGTTGCCACACTTGGCAAGCGAGTTGATTACCACAGTTAGACTTTGGTAATGTTTTAAGAGGGACGCAGCTGGTTGAGAGGTGACCTCGACCATTAAGTTTCCTTGGTCGCCTCTTACGACAACCACGAGAAAAGAAAAGGCGCAGTAATACGTCAAATTAGCCTAACCCATTTCTTAAAATTAGTTTTAGTATTCATTCATTCGACCTGTTTAGTCTTGAAATTATTTTTCGGTGGGAAAAAAATTATATTACCAAAAACTAAAAAAATGTATTAAAATTCTCGAAAAAAAGAATAATCTGCACACGCGGCATTTCATAACGATAGGTTTACTCGTATACCTTGCATTGCGTAGTACTGCTATGGCAAATAGTTTTTCTTTTTTTCAGGAATTTTAATTTATTTCTTTAGTTTTTGATATACAACAATTTTTTCGAGAAAAAAATTTTTGAGACCCTATTATGAACTAATGAATCCTAACACTACTTTCTAAAAATGAGTTACTTTAATTAAAATACTATATACGTGAATATATATTATATTATAGAAATTATAAAAATTATATTATAAAAAGCTACATCATGCACATAATAACAACGAAAACCCTCTTCAAGTGACTTCTCAATTCGATTGAATTTTTTGATGTTTGTTACTTCATACCTCCGTCAGTTATGGACCGATTTGGAAAATTCTTTCTTTACTTGAAAAGATATACTTATAGATCGATTTCGTAGAAATTTTATTAAAATCTGTTCAGTAGTTTATTTTTTAAATCAAAATAACTGGTTTGGTCAAAATTGACATAAATTTTTCTATGAAACACAATCTTAAATATATGATCTTACATATCTTAGATCCATATGTTCAGGTACAAATGTTACAAATATAACTAGGTACATAATTTATAAGTTTCTAATATAAACAAATAAGATAGAATACAATCACGATAAGAAACTTGGTGAGGGTATCGTTGTTAAAACAATTTTGCATCAGATAACAACAATAGCGATGAACAATAAAGAAAAACAATAGCATTAGCGTCATAATTATTTAGTATTCGCTTTGCTTATAAAACCATGTTTTTTCTATGATAAAAATTTTACTTCACTTATGTAACTACTTATAAACGGTCTTGTACTTATAAACTATTTATAACGGTTTAATGTACTGCTTTCTTATAGTCACAGGTTCAATCTCCGCAAATACAAATATTTTATTTATGAATATGTCTATTTTTATTGGTTCAGTCGTTTTTTTTTTCTATTATATTTATTTATAAGATATTTAAATATTCATAGTATTTCAATTGTTCCCTTTTAATAACCATAGAATATGCTCTTTATTATATTTAATGCAATTATAAATTATTACATATAATATATAAAATATAGGTGCAATATTAACAGTTACTTAATCAAAACAAAATTTTAATAAAATCGCTACGCAGTTTAGCATAATTTCGCAAAAATGCAAGCAAACAATTATTATAGTGATAACAAAATAAAAAATTAATAATTCTTACTTTGATGTTGCATTCATTAAAGATATTATATTAATTAATTTAAATTTGTCGTTGACTCTTAAATTTAATAAATCTATATTTCAAAGTAGTCAAATATTTATACAATGAAGATTCGCTTATGCATTAAGTTCTTATAAATTTATTTATACAATATAAGGGCCAATAAAATAACAATAATTAATTATCTATATATATATATATATATATATATATATATATATATATATATATATATATATATATATATATATATATATATATATATATAGGAGTTCGTTTTTCGACTTTTAATTAAAATTAAAAGGTTTTTCAGTAATTTTTAAAAAATCTGCTCCTAAGAAAGTGAGACAGGGGATAATTCGATTTAAAAGAAAATAATCACCTAATAAGTTAAAGAGAGTGTGTATTATAACAAATGTTAAAGTTTATTTTACACATCTGTTACTGAATATTATTTTGATTTGAGGAAAATAAATTCTGGCTTTATGCATCCAGTAGATTCGCTATGTATCTATAGGTCTGGACGAGGTATGGCATATACAACCAAGAGAAACTAGGTATTGGAGATGGTGAACCGAGCACAGGCAAATGCGTGAGGGCATATAAAACGGGGATATGCATGCGAATACATCTATACAGACGAATTGACGGGTAGTAGCCATAATTTGTAAGACTGCAACGGAAGAGAGATTTCCGCAAGAAATCGAATGTTATACGCGAGCGAAGCCGTAGGCAAAAACTAGTTAATAAAACCTATTAAATACAGAGTATATCCCCAAGATATAGATCCAACTTAGTTTGTGGATTGATTGTAATGCAGACTCTTTATTATAATGTAACTCGGTATAAGCTGTGATATAAATAATACTCTTGTTCTAAGATACTGTTACTTCTTTTTTGTAATAAACGGATTTTTATTAAAAAAATAAATAATAAGATATAGAAAACCAAAACGATACTTACTACTATAATCACCGGTCGCTGGTGGAGTAATATCTCTACCTTGGTGTAGATATCTCAAATCTAGAAGGTATCCTGAAAAAGAAAACATTTACAATTATAAAAAAAAAAATTACAACTTAAAAAGATCCTCCCGGATAACTGAGAAATGCGGTAGTATGCGGCTGATACAAAATAAAATAATAAATTAAAAAGTAAGCTAAAGTATAGAACTTACTTTGTTCTAAAGAAACTGACTTATTACTGTAACAATATTCTTTGTTCTCTTTAAAGCAACTCTCACAGTTTTTGTTTTTTACTTTGGCTATAGAAAAATGCTAAAAAGTGAATATTGTACTTAGTTGAAGTGCCCTATGTAAACAACAGTGCGGCCAGTAGTTATATTAACAGGTTTAATGTCATTTCCCTTCTGTTAGAGAATAAAACTATATTATTATTTAATCTTATTACAATAATTTAAATGCGCAAGTTTGTAACGATGGATGGTCGGATGATGGATATTTGTTAGTTTCTTACACAAAAACTACTGAATGGATTTGAATAAAATTTGGTACATAAGTAGGTTTTATCCTTAGCAGATACTTTATGTAAAAATAGTATTATATAAATACCAAGTTAATTCAACTAAGAAATCTTATAAGATTTTTTGAAAAAATTGCTCATAAATCTTTGTCGAATTTTACGAGTAGTTACAAACTAAAATCGTATCATTTTGAAATTAGAATATATTACCGAAATATTACCATAAGATAAAAGATTAGGCTATTATATTAACCCTTAAAACTGTGGTTCTTTATATATCTAAAACTAGTATCTGACAAAGAGTTGTAGTAAATTTATTTTATTAAAGCTCATCAATTTCAAACATATTAAGGAGAGTAAGCTAATTATCGTATTTTGAATTCAATACAAATAATGAGTATGATTATAAAACGTTACCATATTTGAGTATTATGGTATTATAACATGTGTTAATAATCACGTTATAATACAACCAACGCACGTTACAGAATTTAGTGTAGATACAGTATATATCTAAAATTATAAAATTTGTTCCTAATTTAAAGCCTAAAGAGAATTCCTTTTTTAGAATTTTTATTCTATTCTATTTTTATACAATAAGTAAAAGGGCACCCATTAATTACCTGAAAGGTGTTCTTTTAAAAATTTGTACCCTCCTCCCTCTTAGTGGGATGGTAGGAATCACCCTCCCTAACGTGACATTTTAAATAATAATGTACATATTTCTCTTTGTTATTCACTTCAACTTAATACCTTTAATTTGTGGGTAACTAGTTTAAATTCCATGACTTCGTCCACCTTAGGGGAATATAATGATTGACCAGGATAAAAAGTAAGCCTATTATGCTGTTTTTCATCCCAAATATTACTTGTATACAAAATTTCATGACAATTGCCTGAGCCCTTAAGGTCCCATGAGATAATAAATAACCCAAGAAACCAAACAAAATCCTAAAGATTGACTGCTAGAGAATGCTTATAGGATTAAGGCCGCCTTTTAAACCACATTTTATTAATTAATAAAGATTAAATAAATAACACTTTTACATTTATGATATTAGTAGAAATATACTTATAACTTATAGCTTTTACCTACGTACTACATTTTTCTATGAAATATTTAATAGGATAGTAAAAACTTATCGTATTTTTTATTAACTCGTTAAATAATATGTTACTGAGTCTATAGCTCACATTATTAACACATATGCCCTGAAAGCCCTGGACATCAAAAGTGCAAATATTACAAATCTGAAGAAAAAAGAAAACGGAGAACTCTCGTTTATTTTTGTGCAGAACAAGCAATACTTTATTCAGCGGCACGTACTCACCGCACAAAGTTGAAGTACAAAACAGAAACATACTTTAATTGCATCGCGACATATGGTAGAGAGAGTTTACAGCTGCACAATTCATAAACAAGGAACCACCTGGATTCACACAACGGCAATTTAAACACAAACTTTATACACTGTGATACAGTAGTTTAGATTACACGGACATAAACACAAGACGCTTGTGTGCACAAGCTGCGTGTGTGTGTCGTCTGCCTACCTGTTAGAGTCAACAGACCATATCGTTTATGGGTATTGTTACACCCCATACCAATGATCCTTGAAGTCTATTTGAAAACGCCGCTGTACCGAATCGAAACAAGTGCTACTGTGATATTGAATTGAAATACTTTCTCATGCTACAGGTGACACGATTTTAAAGTTAAACAATAAACATAATAGTCCGCATATTATTAATTCATTAACATTTGCTTCATAATTAAGTAATTATATAATAGTTCCAAATGTAATGTATGAAAACCCGTTATAGATTTTATAATTTATGTGCTGACTTAGAATTTTGTTATTATGCAAATATTGAATTAAATTCATTCATAATCTTGCACTAATATTATTTTTTATCCAAATACTATTGAAACTTCTTTGTAATCATTATGTAAATTTAAGTGTGGCCACATTTATATGTTGATATTATTTTTTATATTATTTTTTGTTTTATATACATTTCACTATGAACCTCTACAAATATTCCTATATACAATATATACATATATACTATCAAGGACTACAAAAAGAATTATTAATTAAAATTAATTAAATAATTTGAGAATGTTCTCTAATTTTCATTATTGTCTAAAAACTACAATTATAAATATTTTAATATAAAATTACAGGCCTAATTTTACACAATACCAATTTTTCATTTTGCTAAAATGTATCTGCTGATTAATCGTATTAAATTTGCATATCAAGCAAAATGTTACAAATATTTAGCTGCCTGCTGTCTATTCGATGTTGATATTTGAATTTAAACCGACATCTAGCCGTACCTATTTTGCAACAATGCACAGGTGCGTTTGACATCACATTACGTATATGCATATCCCGTGATGGTCTGCTATTGACCCCTTTGGAGGGCATATTCCTGCATATGCACGGATACATAATGCACTTTGATAACCTGTTTACCAGCTTTCATTTCTATTATACTATTACTGAATACATATTTGCTTTATACTTCAACAACATAGTAGAATATATTAATAACAAATAAGTACTAAATAATGTAGACAATTTGAAAACCTGAGTTTGTTACTAACCATTGCAATTTTGTAATTTAGCAACCCGTCCCTGAATCGCACGCTTGATAATTGTACAATAAAAATTGTTCATAAATAAGTGAAACTTATATCAAAATCCGTTGCAAGGTTTAAACAGATTAACAGGCATAGCCTGCAACTTTATTTTATACTGTTTGAAGACACTAACTGTAACCTGCACCATCGGATGCGTGAACGAAAGATAACATGATATTCATATATGTACATATATGTACAAATTAAATAGAGTTAAGAATAGCATACGATTATAACAATCTCTATTGCAAGCGGGTTATTTACAAGAATAATGTGATTAACAATCTTAGTAATAATTTCAGGTTAATTATGTACAAACTTAAGTTTGTCTAATTCGTCTTGTTTGAAAATTTGTCATAATATTGTACACCGCTCTACCCGCTGACATTGATGTTCCTTTCCACTATATGTTTGCTGGAAGAGAACTCTTTTAGAGTTAAGCTTGTTTTGGTACATTTTACTTTTGTTATATTTTTTTATATATTATTAGTGTGTACAATAAATTATAAAATAAATTAATTAAGAAAAAAAAAATTTCCCACCTCAATGATATCATGTAAATAAATAAACAATATTAAGCAACTGTCGTTAACCAAATCCATCAAAATCAAACTACCATAACAATAAGATTGTTTTACTATATAAATATAATTAAATATCATTACATTTGTTAATTGTCTTACTTATTCCCATTATTGTATAAGGTAAATAAAGTATAGTCATTAATTCATTTAATAATTATGAAAAATATGACCTAGTACTAAAATAAAATGGGATTAAATAAATTATTGCATCTACATCTAAGTTTGCCATTTTAATTAAGATTTTACACACTTAATCGGTACTATTTAGTTAACAATGTATTATAGCGACATGTTCAATTTAAAAAATAAGGTCAAACTAATAAAGAAGTAGATAATAATGTAACAATATTTATTCCATGCATGACGTGAATTCATAACGACTGACCTCCCACTACTGGAACCGGATCTCTAGTGACTTGATGTAAATTTAACAATTTAATTCGATCAGCAAATAAAACATAAAATCTATATTTATAGTAGACATTGTTATCTTTTATAAAATAAACATTGCAAATTATTTAAGCATTAAAATAATAAATATTGCTCTTTTTTCTCCAACGTTTGTCGTTCAACATGACTAACAAGTAAACATACAAAGTCACAAAAAAACCCGAGCGTAAAATATATTTTTGACAGATTACCTATAGCCACACGCCATATTTATTTTACTTTCATTTGTTATATTTTGTAGTTTGAATAATAAATTATCGAAATATTATGTTTATTTACATATGTACATACATTAGGCAATTTTGTAACAAAATATATTTATTACCTAACTATCAACTTCAAATTTATAGATATTAGGCACGACTTATATTGTATTTTTATATTCCGGTAGCATCACGTGAAACGACTCTTGTCAGAGATTTTTGACCTGAAACCTACCATTCTTTACACAAGAGTAAGCGAAACAGATATAATTGGAAGAGCATAGAAATACTAGTGGGCGGTTTGCGGTCACGAAACTGGTTGCACAGGTTGTTAGTGAATAAACATAAGCGACTTTACTACTAAAGTAATTGAGTCAACACTCGTGTGTTCGCAGCGGGTGAAGACTATAATATGTAAATATATATCTGTGAGTCATCATCCGAATCCAAGGATTTCCATCAGATGGAAACTCATGGCTTTCTTAGAATTTATATTGTGATGATTGTGAACAATTTACTACTTCTTACTATCTAGTTGATGTATCATGTGTATGTAGGAAACGAGTAGGTACTGCGACTAATTATCTTTTTGACGATAACTGCGTAAATAAATGCTTTGATTCTTAGTCAATTAATTTACGAAGCGTAAGAAACGACGTAATTTATGAAAAAAGTAGTATCGATCAATTAATAAGCTGCATTTATTAATGAATTTTTTTACTCGAGCGTAAGAGTATTATGAATGTTTACCTCGTGTTTTAGTCATTTTTCTTTCGCGAATATCCACATTTTTTAAACGTTTTAAAATAGCAAACAAGCTGCCAGTCCACCTAACGAAAAGGGTTAACCGTCGTCTGTTAGCATGAACAGTACTATGGACATCACAAAATACACTGCGGATACTCAAAATAAGGAAGGTTTTTAGTGAAGATAACTAAGACGTTTTAACCTATAATTAGAGTTAGGGTAGTTATTAGTTAAAGCATAGTAACATCTATATGTTATAGTTACAATATGTACATACTGGTCTAATAAACAGATATATGAAATATCGATTATTCAATATATAATATTTAAATATAGCTCCTCATGCAAATTAATATGAATATCTGACCAGTATAGGCGATATCAAAGCAGGTGACAACCTTTTTCTCCCTATGATTGTCCAGAGGAACCCAATATATAGATATCGAAGCAGTGCCGATATTACCCATACCTATCTGTAACTGTCATATCCCATCTTTCAAATCGAATAAAATTTATTAATTAGCATAGTTGCTTGGTGGCAGAAATACAACAATACTCCTAGACAAGTGATAAGTTAACTTATCAATAGAATTGTTTCGGTAAGCGCTCGCAATGAGAAAGAACAAGATACCGGGCGATATCATCTAGCTCATGAGACTCGTTAACGGTAGCGATTCTATCGATAGATTCGTTTACCACTAAGAAAATGAAGATAGTTACTTAGCGGCAGAAATACACAATAGTCCTCCGAGACAAGTGAGAAACAAATGTACCAATAGAATCATTTTGGTTAACGCTTGCATGAGAGAGAACAAGATTAACGATGGACTTGTTGGCGATAAGGATTTTATCGATAGATTCGTTCGCCATTGTCTAAGAAGAGTTACCGACGACTTTTGTGCTAAATCTGACTGTGTATAATGTACTCTATAGATATTAACTGTTATAGTACAAACCTTGACATTCCTTGACACATAGTCCAGAGTCATAGTTGTGGTGTGTTTTGTTGCATGCTATATTACATGCCGCACATCTGTTCGTTTCGGAAGAACAATACTCATCGAATGCGCACTTCAGTTGGCCACATTTGACACCATCAAGCGTGAGCTGAGCCGATGCCACCCCGGCCAAGGCCAGGAGTTGTACTATCTGCGACATTTTAGTGCTGTAACAAAATTTTTAATTTATTACATAAATAATTTATTAAGGTGAATAGTTAGAACATTTTTAAGAGATTAAAAAATGTTTAAATCACGTGTATTTGTTTGTATTGCCTACAAACTAAATTCTTGCCAATTCTGAATCGATTTTTTTATTTAGTCGCAGTTATTGACTTTTTATGTAAAACAAAATCTTAAATTGTGTAGATTTTCGCCATTAATGTGAACGCAGGTATCGTCGTAGTACGCATGCCACCTATATATTGTTTTTGTGTTATATTGCTTTATTAAATATGTGTAGGATTATAATACAAATTTGTAAATTTATGTAGCTTTAATGCCAGTTGATAAGTTACAAAATAACTTTGCAATAGCCTAATGTGAGTTTTATACTATATAATAATAACTGTATAAAATATATGTAATTATTTGATAATATTTGCAGTCATAACTTTATAATATATAATCATTAAAAAATTTATTAAATTTAAGTAGTAAATATTCTTCCCCTAAATTTTGTTAATTGTTATACCAATTTAATGTAAATAATAAATATCAGAAAAGGATAGAAACTGAGCAGTTATCTACAAGAAGTATAACCTCTTAACATTCTAATACTGGACCTTGGGGAGAGGCCTTATAAAAGAAAGATATTAACCACATAAACCAAGCACCTTAATATAGTGTTTTACTGCGAGTTTTCCTTCTCTTTCACTGGCACATTTTATTAACCCACATCAAAAAAGGTAGAGGTTCTGAATTCGGTAGTATTTTTTTTTATTGTTACCTCAGAACTCCGTCATTTATAAATAGATTAAGAATATTATTTTTTATTTATATAAATACACCTTGAAATTGATTCTGTAAAAATTTTAACTTTCAGTAGTATAGTTTTAAATCAAAATAACTGAACATGATGTGAGTGTTAGTTTTACAAAAAGTTATTTTAAAACTACTACTCACAACCATTATAATAAGAGTAGTGAAATCAACGTTAATTTAGTCAAGATTTTAATGATTATTTTTTCTGCGGCTTCATAATGTACTTGTTATCTTAATAACCTCTCACATATGTGCATAGCAATAATAAAAATAAGTAGCATCAAGTTGTATTCTCTTTCTTTCTAATATGAAGACATATGAATAACGTGATTTTTATATAAATATAAATCGCTTTGTAATATAAATATAAAGATTACATTAGAACCAAGTAAACTTATTATTTTAGAAATCTCTCGCTACATTAATTGTTGTTATAATAGTTTTCTATGTAGTAGCAATTTGATTTTCTTGTCTTAGCCATTGGCTATCTAACGACATATTTTGTAAGTACGTAATGTTGGCACTCGTGAGAAACAAAAAATCTTTCGTCAACTATTTATAGCTGTTGTCTAATAATCAGTTATTTCATTGAAAAGAAATAACAGTTTGTTTGATAAATATGCCAAGTAAAAAAAAAATAGTAATTTAATATGGAAAGTCGTGTTCAAAATGAATAAATGTCATGTCATATCATTTGAAATGCTTTGAACATCACTCAGTTTTTCATAACAAGTCTACTCAGCTTTTAAACAAATAGTATATTAAAAGGTAGCGCGTGGGAATCTCTGTCTAGTTTTGTTTCATAAATATCTGATTTTTTTAATTTTTCAAAATTAAAATATTATGCATATTATTATATATTTCAATACATTGAGAAGACTCAACTATATTTACATTTAATTGAATTGTATAAATGTCTTTACCAGACATAATCATCTTATAAATGTCAACAATTTTTTTTTTCAAAATTGACCTAAATTGAGAACATCATATGCATTTTAGCGTTTTGTAAACACATCTTTTGAACAACGACTGTCAATCTTTTTTTTTTTTTTCTTTATCGAAATTTCATATACTATAATATAATCAACGAGTTTACGTATTTCAATAATATATCTGCAACAATCAAATTATTTACAAAATCATAGTTGCGTTCTACTAGGATCTGAGAGCATTTTAAGTATTTACTATACTTAAAATAAATAGATGAACAACCTATTTTAATTCTGTAACTTTCAGATAATATTGTAAAGATAACATGAGTGACGTCACTGCAAATTCGTCATGGCGGATACTGTACAACGGCACACAATTTTTTTATTTGGAACGTCCCCAACAATAGTATTACATATATATAGGTAAGTACTCGAAACATAGGAAATACAAACAACAATAAGATAAATTTTACATGTGAAAATATTAAATGCCTCAACATACTGTCCCTTTTTGAGTTCTGCGCCAACATAGAACCCAATTATTTTGCCAACGACATTATATCTTTAACTTAACTGTAGCTTTGGAATAAAATTATAATGACCGTATTATAATATTATATAGTAATTTTTATATTTACTAAACTAGAGCAAAAAAAAAAACTAAACACTTAAATTATAATTTTTCCTTTTTTATTTAGATTGTAATTATGTTTAATACTCTTTTTATTACTATAATTTGTACTGATATAATAAAAAATACGGCTACTATAATATTTGAATTTAGTAATTATTGATCGATAATGTCCAGCAGATATTATTGATATTATTGTCCACATACTCGTATTTAAGCCCTTTCAAACAATACATCAGAGCTCATAAACTTTCTCTGAATAGTAAATAGGATGACTCACTAGACCGCACAGCGCAGGTAATGGTCAACAGTGAAGGCATGGTTACAGCCTTACAACTTTAATATATTACGTATGATGATAAAGGTTTGTCAATATATAATGCAATAACATATTAGGAACAGGTATTATGAATGGTGTTCATAATTATGACAGTGACACGTCATTCAAATTTTATAAAATATTGGAAATTTTCATACTAATTAATAATAAATTATACCTGCGTAGTCATTAGGCTTCGTAAATATTATATATGCTTAGATATTATTAGAAAGTGGTTACTACTAATAGATTATAACTTATAAGCATTTAATGGCAGACCCCTTATTTCTGTATAAACTGAATTATTAGGTTGCAATTCCTCGAATTAGGATAAGAATTAATTTCGACCAACTAAAAGAATAAATTGTTAATGTTTTCTTAATCTTTAATTCCAAAATAATGTCATTTATAGATAAATTCTTTCAGTCCGGAATAATTAATTAATAATAATTTACGTATTTTGCTACTATTAGAGAATTGCAATAGATACGATTTTCTCAAATTTTATCTATCAAATTATCCTAACATATTCCTGTGGCTAGAATATTTGCGAATGTAGATATGTATAAAATTTAATGTTATTTATAAAATAATAGCAACCTGCACAGATTTTACAAAGAATTTTAAAAATAAAAACAGTCTATATTACTCGTAAATAATGTAGCTTTCTGTAAATGTTTTAATTTTAAGAATCGATTAGCATTTTTTAATTTATCCAATACAAACGAAAATTCAAATCTTTATAATACTCATTTTGATATAATAATAATAAAATATTTTTTTAATCTAACTCCTGCAGTTAAACCTTAGCGTTTGCACCGTGCAATGTCTGTGGACAATTTATTTCTAGCAACATTTATTTAAAATACCAAAAATCTTTGTGACTTGACACCAGTTTTCCTTTAAATCCGTAGCTTTATCCACAGAAACAAGATGCCAGCCGCTGTCGCCGTCTGTTACTATGCTTTTATAACTTTCGACTTAAGCACACATTCCGCACTCAACTGGACTCGCGCTATTTCCTAGAGTATAAAAAAATCTGTTCAAATGACAAAAGGTGGGCAAAAATGCTGGATATTGTAAAAAGCCTTTTAAAGATGTCCACACTACCAAGGCCCTTTAATATTCAGAAAGCGTGATCTCTCCCCGTTGGTTTGTAATAAATTTATTAATAACGACAGATCTAAGTAAGTTGGTCGCTCGCGAATGAACCTGGGATTTTAAACAGGAAATAAGCTCGATTTATTATAAAACTAGATTTTTCTCCTTGCCGCTGTCCCATAGACAGTCATATTGCGTGTAATGGAATTAGGTATATTGTAAAACTACAGTATATTAAACAGTACTAGTATATTCTAAATAATAATATAATAGAAAAATATTAATATATAATTATAAATAATAAAAAGATGCTATTTTTTGTCTGTGTCGACAGTAATAATTTATTTGTTTTTATTAAGTAAATAAAAAGTTTATGACACTAAAATTATAATTAATATTAAATTACATAATAATATTACAGTAGGTCGTAACTCAAATACGGGTATATAATTCATTCATTAATTTGAAATTAATATCACGCATCAGTTCAAATAAATTTTGATTACGAGTACTCTCTACGAGTATTCCTAATAAAAAAGAATTTCGTATTTTTTATAAACACTTTCCTTAATAAAATATATATTTAATTCAATAAATTTATAATAATTGTATAAATGATAAAGATATTTAATGAACAAAAGAGGTAATAAAAAATCATGTGCGTGCTCGTCTACCTATATACACAGGCATTTTATTATTTGCCTCTCTATGGTCCTATTATTAAAAATATAAAACAAATTACACACATACCCATATGAATATAATTTCCAAAAAGTATATCACAATGCACTGGGTGAGTTTCAGTTTCAGGGGTGGATACATGGCTCCAAGTACTTCAGGTGAAATCATGATTACAGGCACAAGCATTGTGGTGTATGAATGTACAGTTTTTGTGTCGTTGCTAAGCAACCGAAACTAGTTCACTGTATAGGACTATTAAGCAGCGTTAGATATCAACTTCTAATGTAGTATTCGTAAACATCTGTTATATCACTATGTGTAGCATAAACAATAAAATGTATATAAGGAGAATATATTTTTTATTTATTTCAAACTCTCTAGAGTAACTGATTTCCATAAGTTGTTTTTGTAGAAACTTAATAGACGAAATTTGCGTGCATTTATTTCAGTGTTTTAAATCAAAAGGGTTATTTTGACTTAAAACTAAGCTACTGAACCGATTTTGATAAAATTATT